AGTGACACATCTGACAGAAGTTTAACATCCAGAATATATAAAGAACTCAAAAAACGAATCAAGAAACAAAATGACCCAATTAAAAGATGTGCTAAAGATCTAAACAGAGAGTTCTCAAAGGAAGAAATAAAGATGGCTAAGAAACATCTCAAAAATTGTTCAACATCATTAGTAATCAGGGAAATGCAAATTAAAACCACCCTAAGGTATCACCTTGCCCCAATCAGACTGGCTAGGATCAGGAGAACAAATGACACCAAATGCTGGCAAGGGTGTGGAGAAAGGGGAACCCTCATTCACTGCTGGTGGGATTGCAAACTCATGCAGCCTCTGTGGAAAACAGTGTGTAGAACTCTTAAAAAACTAAAAATGAACCTACCATATGACCCGGTTATACCACTCCTTGGCATATACCCAAAGCACTCATCCTACGGTAGACACTTGTACAACCATGTTTGTTGCTGCTCTTTTCACAATAGCTAAGAGATGGAAGCATCCTAAGTGCCCCTCAACTGAAGAGTGGTTAACAAAAATGTAGTATATTTACACAATGGAGTTCTATTCACCAGTAAAGAAAGATGAAATAATGAAATTTGCAGGTAAATGGATGGATCTAGAAACTGTTATATTAAGTAAAGTAACACAGACTCAGAAAAACAAATGATGTATATTCTCCCTCATATGTGGATCCTAGCACCAAATCCTTTAAATTCCATGTCATTTTAATAAGATGATGCTGTACAGCAGTCTCCTGCATGAAATAACTACCATTATCGGACTTCAGCTGAGCTGATCACTAAACATCATCACAATTGGGCTTGTTGACGGTTGTGCTCATTCATTAAAGGAGGGGCAAGCAGGGTCATTGGACCCTCGCCACGTTATCCAGCCACTCTTCGCAGCCAACTGTATGTAATTTGGCCCTAATCACATGTGGTCTCCTGGATTTGGGGAGGGCTAAATAAAGTATACAATCTGGTGAAGGCTAGACCCATGCTGGGTAAAGGCATACCCCTCAGGTCATACACACACCTCAACAACCCTTCAGTTATCTCAAAGCCTTTGAGAAGGAACTGACACTGATTCTAACCACCCCAATATCTATCAAAATACCTGAAAACAAATCCTGAATCCATCTAGAGTCCAGCCTTGGAAAACAAAAGAAAAATGAGGAGGAACCCAATAGAGGGATGCTTTTGAAAGCCCTTATCAAAAAATTCCAATGGTCTCATATAAACATTTGAGGATTGCCCTGTTCTTTTTTCAAGTTCCCTGTCTAGAACCTATAATGCTAATTACTCTTGCTTTTACTTCTCCTTCACATCTCCCAGTCATGATTCAGGACTTTCTTTTCCCCCTAGAGATAAGTTATGCAATTTGGGAGTCTTTTAGATAGCCCCCCACTAAAGGAGTACTCCAATTGCCTCACCCAGCATCCCTGTTCAGCATGGAAGAAGCCAGAGCAGTCTGTGTCCTGATTCCCTATTGGCAATTTGGGTAACCTCTTCAGAGGATGGTATGATGAGAATAGGAGGTAGGAATTGGCTAGGCTGTTAGGGTATAAAGACCTGAAAGAAAAGTAGCCAGTTTCTTGGCTAAAAGTCAAAATGTCCTTGGGCCTCTTAGCAACATACTCTATTCCAAAGGCCAAAAATGTCGAAAGTATTTAGGGAGCTGATATCTAATCCTTAAAAGATTTTAGGAATGCCTCTTCAGAGGGGGGAATGTTAGCATAGCCAAAAGCCCCATATAAAAATAAATAAATAAATCAAAGAAGAAGAAAGAGTACATGAAGTTATCAGAAAAAAAAGTGATGAGGAGATACAGGAGGAGTTGGAGGGGAGGGAGTGGGCATGGATTTTAAACAAAACATCTTATATGCATGTATGAAATTCTCAATGAATTATTAAAAAACAATTTTACATAATCCTTTACATCTATCTGTAGATTAGGAAATTTGAACAATGCAACTTCAAAAGCAAAAAACATTCAGTTGTGAAATATACACAGCAGTTGTTAAGTTTTTGCCTCTGACGGAGCTGTACCACCCATTGGGTGCACACTACTGTGAAGTCTGGAACTTTTAGACTCACTTCCCAACCTCTGGGGAAATTTATATGCCTGTATAAATCTTTAAATACAGAATTTTCCCATTACTACCCAGGAGTCAAAAATATGTAACCCAAAGATGAATCAAAGGGAATAAAAGAAAATATAGCATGCAGGTTATTAACAGACATGCAACAATTCTACACTATAAGGTCTAAGTAAGCCTAGACAATAATCTAGGCTCCATGATAATATTTTTATATTAAAGATGATTAACACCACAAACCCACACATACCAGATTCCATTAAGGCAAACATGTTAAAAATAAAAATTCCATTGTGAAATTTTTCTGGCCCAAATGGAATCCTTTAAAAGCTGTTTCTCAGCTGGGTAGGGAAGAATGCACCTACAATCCCATCAACTCAGGAGGCTGAGGCTCAGGATCCCGTGTCTAGGAGTTCAAGACCAGACTGGGAAACACATTGATAACCCTGTCTATTTAAAATAAGAAAGGAAAAAAAAAAAAGCAAGTAGGCAAGCGAGGGTTGGGGAGCTGGCTCAGTGAGTAAAGCAAGTATGAGGACCCTTGCATTAAGAGTCTCTAGTACAATCGGGTGTGGTGGTGCATGCCTTTAATCCCAGCACTTGGGAGGCAGAGGCAGGCGGATCTTTGTGAGTTTGAGGCCAGCTGGGTCTACACAGTGAGTTCCAGGACAGCTGTTGGGGCTACAGGGAGACCCTGCTTCAAAAAGACAAAAAAAAAAGTCTCTAGTACCCACATAAACCTAGATGTGACAGTAAACCTATAACCCCAGCACTGGGGAGGGGAGACAAGTGGATCCCAGAGGTCTGCTGACCAGCCAGTCTAGCCAAAAATAGAAGCTCCAGATTCAGTGAGAGACCCTGCCTGAAAAAACAAAGTGGAGAAATGGTTGAGGAAGATACCCAGTGTCAAGTTCTAGATGCCATACCACATGGACAGGAACACAAGGTATATATATTTATACAGAGAGGGAGAGAGAGGGAGGGAGAGAGGGAGAGGGAGAGGGAGAGGGAGAGAGAGAGAGAGAGAGAGAGAGAGAGAGAGATATTATGACTATGACTATGAATGAGAACATAAATAAATTCTAGACTGAGGCCTATATTTTGTGGCTGAACTCCTGGGTAGGATTTTGGGCCTTGAGATTGAGGGAAGGTTCCTAACCTCCTCTTACATAATCAACCTCCCTATGACTTACTCTGAAGAATTATCTATAACACGGTAACATAATTCAGATTAAGTTGCATCTGCAACTTCCCTAAATGAGGTAGTATGAGCAATGAGTGGAATACAGACTTAACATATCCCATAGGGGAAAAAAAATAGACTCTGGTGAACACTGCTGGTTAGAAAGGTATCTTCTATGTATACTTTCATTCTATAAATATTTATTGGAGCACTGTCACTAAGCCAGTCTCTTACTAAGGGTTTTCTTTTGGTAAACCAATTGAACAAAGTATGAATCCAATACAATACTTCCTACATAATCTGATTCATGCAGAAGTATATCACTCCCACTCACATAAGCCAATACACAGAGCCTTTTTCTTCACAGTTCTCTTCTCATGACCTAAGTCATCTTTCTTCTGTCTTTACTGAGGTACAACTGACAATAAACACTAAGTAGATTTACTGCATGAGAACTCATGTTTTCATATAGAAATACACTATGTAATAATTACCACAAATAACACACTCACCTATCCATTAACTCAGAAAGTTTCTCTCTTCTGTGTGGTGAGACTATTTAGGACCTACTCTCTTTCCAAATTTCAAGTATACAATGCAGGATTGTAAACAATAATCACCATGCTGTGAATTAGAGCCTCAGAACTTAATGCACTTTTAACTGAGAATTTTTATTAAAAAATAATTTACTTATTATTTTTATTTTATGTGTATGAGTGTATGCAAATGCACCCATGTCATACAATTCCTGCAGAGGTCAGAAGAGGGCATTGGATTCCCTGGAACTGGAGTTACAGGCCGTTCCTAGCCATGTGGATGCTGGGAATTGAACCTGGGTTCCCTGAAAGAATAGCCAATGCTCTTAACCATTGAGTCATGTCTCCAGCCTCTTAACTGATAATTTTTTTTTAAATTAAAATAGCTTATTATTGTCAGGGAAGGGCAGGGAAAGATGTCAGGGAAAGATACCAGCCCACGGGTTGTGAGCTGGGACTTTATATATGGGGGCTTTAGGGTGTGGAAGGGGGGAATGTTTGGGGGAGAAATCAGGGAGGGGGAAGCAGGAAAAGCAGGTAGGATTAGGGTCTGGAAGTGTTTACTTTTTCCCTCTTGAGATAAGAGAAAAGCTGTTGTAATAAACAGCTTCTAAAATCTCTGGTTATCAGGTAGAATCTGCTTATCTTATCTTTGGAGATCAGAGGAAAGGCAGGCTGCTTCTCAGCAGAGTCTGTAGGTCCCTATTGGGGAGGGGGGAAGCTGCTGCTATTTGGAACCCTAACAATTATTTTATGTGTACGAAGTGTATTGCCTGCATGTAAGTAGGTGCACCTGTGTCGTGCAATGCTGTGGAGGTCAGAAGAGGGCTTCGGATTTCCCTGGATCTGGAGTTAAGGACGGTTTGTAGCCACCATGTGGGTGCTGGGAATCGAATCCAGGTCCTCTGCAAGAGCAGTAAGTGCTCTTAACTGCTGAGCCATCTCTCCAGCCCCAATCTGCTGTTTTTTTAAGACAGGATTTCACACTATGCAGCCCTGGGAGACCTGGAATTCACTATGCAGATCAGGCTCTGCTCATAACACAGATATGCCTGCCTCTGCCTTCCAAGTGATGGGATTAAAGGCATTTAGCACCACGCACCCCCCCCTGCCCCAAAAATGGGAATTTATGTTGAAAGGCAACCAAAATGGGCACTAGTGGCAGGGCTGCTCTCAGAAGTCTCACCTGTCGAATGATGCTCTTCACACAACGTACTGGGAGTCCTTGATAGTTGGACTTGATGATCCATTTGAGGAGATGGTGGCCAAGTACTTCAAAGACCATACACACATCTGGTATGTGGTTAAGGAGCAACTGAGAATACACTTCCTGAAACCAGGCTATTACTAAAAGCATCTTCATTGTGATACTTGAAAAGTTATGCCTTAAGAAAATGTCATCAAAATTAGCAATAATACCAAAAATAATCAGTTGTCATTTCTCATCTAAATAAAAAAGAACTGACTTTTTCACTAAGCACTTATTGTATATCATGTATCATTTAATGTACTCCAAACTACATCAGGAACTATACAATTATACTCACTGCTGAAACAAGGAACATGTATCCTAGCATCCAACAGGGCCAACCCATGACTGGGGCCCACACTGCGCTGTGTTCTCTCCATCTCAGCATACCTTTCAGGTCCTCCTGAGGACAGTGGGCAAGAAAGAATACTCATAGGAGACAATATGGAAAAAAACTAAAAACTTGAAGAGTCTTAATCACTTGTATAGATTTATACTTGAAAGGCCATATAGAAGAAATTATAAAATAAAAATGTATGAAATACACTAAAGATCTATTTAACTTTCCCTTTAATATCTTTCAGTCAGGTATGGTGGCACATACATATAAATCCCAGTACTTAGGAGGTAGAGGTAAGAGGATCAGAAGTTTAAAGTCATTCTCAGCTACGTAGTGAGTTGAAGGCTAGGTTGGGCTATATGCAACCCTGTCTCAAAGAAAAACAAATAACTAATATACTTCACTGATAACTAGGAGTATTACAATTTAGGCAGCTGTTAAGGATTCACAATCACTTAAAGTGCATAATCATAATTCAACACATGGTGTTATAATGTAATAACTATAATAATGAAGACTCAGGACTCTAAAATGCTTTACGTTTTAAATCATTAAAGTAGGATGGCTATTAAAAGGGTTGTATACACTTAATGTATACACTGTGATATATTTGCTGTCAGTATGTAATTATGAAAATGTCAATATCATTCAAGGCCATACAAGTATCCAAAGGAATTGATATCAAGGTCTCAAACAGGTATCAATAGTTACAAGTTCACTGTAGCACCACTGTGAATAGCCAAGATAGAGAAATGGTCTAAATGTCAACTACTGGATGCATTGATAAAGAAAATATGGTACATACATACAATGGAATGTAATTCTACCCAACAAAAGTAGTAGTTTTAAAAACAGAAATTCTAGCCCAATCACAGACCCTCCAAATGGTAACTCACCAAATGAATCATAAAACAAATTCATGGCATTCCTACAGAAAGCAGTGGCTCTGAAACCCCTTGAGAATATCTGATTGATTGCTGAAGGCTTACAGGTGATATTAGTATCACTAAATTTTATAATAATATCTGGATCATCATAATAATTATTAAATATTTTAGTGAAAAAAGTTATTGTTTCTATTCTGAAGAACTTAAGCACTACAGACATAAGCAAAGATGATTTAAAGCCCAAAGTATTTTTTTAATATTATTATTTTTACATGTTTGAGTGTACTGCCTGCATGTATGTGAGTGCACCCATGTCATGCAATGCCGCAGAGGTCAGATTCCCCTGGAACTGGAGTTAAGGACGGTTTGTAGCCACCATGTGGGTGCTGGGAATCAAACCTGGGTCCTCTGCAAGAGCAGTCAGTGCCCTTAACTGCTGAGCCATCTCGCCAGCCAAGTTTTATTTCCCAATCTCATTTTAAAAATTACAAACTAAGATCTAAAGTTAGTGGCAGATACAGAAGCCAAAACCCAGAATTTCCAAAATAGGATCTAAGTCTTCTCTGAGTATTGACAAATGTGGACCATGATGATTTCTTAGCATTTTATTTAACAGTGGAAAGAGCCATTAGAATGTGTATCATCCCTCCCTCCTCCCTCCTCCCATTCACCCTAACAAATCAGGTGTTTTCTCAAAAGACACCCCCTCTATGTCACCTGTCTCTGGAAGAGCTCTATAAGTTTGATACAAAATGAGCGGCTGCCTTGCCCTGAAACAAAATTGCTCACCTAGACAAGCAGGCACACAGACTCCAGCACTGGCACTGTCTATTTGCCACCCTGATCACCTACTGCTAGGGAGAATGAACCTAGCAGTTTATCAGAAATGATTCTGAAGCAAAAGCTGAGCTAGTATCAGTACGGTTTTTTAATTCTCAGTACTCTGGACTGGAATTTCTTGTTTGTTTTGGTTTTTGGCACAGTGTCAAGGAAACTCAGTCTGGTCTCAAACTGGCTACATAGTAAAACTGACCCTGAACTTCTGATACTTCTGCTTCAGCCTCCTGAATCCTGGGATTATAGGCATGCACCACCATAGCTGGAATTTCTAAGAGAAATATAAAGACCTACTCTAATATAAATATCATAACTGAGGAAATGAAGGCACTAGATGCCATTCCTGGGATTAAGACAAGTTTACAGTTTTGACTTCAGTTTCTAGAGCTTGCAAAAGTCAGATATGAAAATATGAAAAGTTGAGCTGGGAATGGTAGGACACAACTTTAATCCCAGCACTCAGGAGGCAGAGGTAGGCGGATCTCTTTAAATTCAAGGCCAGCCTGGTGTACACAGTGGGTTCCAGGCCAGGTATCTCAAAAAAAGCGAAAAAGAAAATATTACAAGTTGAATCTGTTCCAAGTAAGAGGTAAAGGAAATAACAAAAGACCTGAAACAAGTCAGAAGACCTTGGCCACAGCATTAGTATGTCACATGGCTATAAAGAAATGGTCCAGTAGGCGCGGTGGCGCAGGCCTTTTATGCCAGCACTCGAGAGGCAGAGGCAGGTAGATCCTCCGTGAGTTCCAGGCTAGCCTGGTCTACAGAGTGAGTTCCAGGCAGCTGGAGCTACAGGGAGACCCTGTCTCAAAAACAGACAAAAAAAAAAGAAAAAAGAAAAAAAGAAAGAAAGAAATGCTCCAATCTACTTGAATCTTGGGGGATGAAGGAGGAAATAACCTGCCTTAAACATTCAAAGGGCTAGCAGGCTCCAACATTAGAGTAAAGGTCAAGTATTCTGGAAACTACAGACCATATCTCTTCTCCATTTGTGCTCATCGATGAGCTACATGGCTTGGAACACAGTGCTCTCAACTGTCTCTTGGGCTGCCTTTTTGCCATCTCTCCATGCAGAGGTAGGGGAAGGACAAATCAAGCTCCTTTCTGAAACCCCAAATCATTTACTCCTTGGTTCCCCAAACAAATAAACACTACAACAACAGCACTGTCAAAACTAGTGCTTAAAGTCAAAGGGAAGGTCATGAGCTGCTTTATCTTCTGGCAGTACAAATTTCTTTTCCAACAGGACTTAAAATTAGGACTAAAGCCATCCTTTGTGAACTGCAAGAGGAGTGTCTGGTCTTACAGACAAGAAATTCTTTTACTTATTGAAAGTCATTGATATCCATCAGGATAATTTCTTCTTAAAATATTACTTATTATTTTTTAATTTTATATGTGTGTATTGCCTGCATGTAGGTAAGCGCACCCTTGTCGTGCAGTGCCAGCGGAGTACAGAAGAGGCTGTCAGATCCCCTGGAACTGGAGTTACGGACAGTTGTTAGCTGCCATGCGGGTGCTGGGATTCGAACCTGGGTCTTCTACAAAAACAGTCAGTGTTCTTAACCGCTGAGCCATCTCTCCAGCCCCAATAATTTCTTTTTTAAAAAGCAAATATTCTGTCACATTTCAACAAAAAGGGGGAAATATAATTTGAATAATCTTCAACTATACAATCAAGTTGATTAATAACAGTTCAGAAGAAAAGATTTAGGAGAAAAGAACTGTGTTGAATTCTGAGTCTTAATTTTCAAACGTCATTTTTTGTAATATTAAGAAAATTTAAATGTGAAAATATACCATCAATAAATTAACAATTTCATTCAGTGAGTTCTACAGTTATGTTAAAGAAATTCATCCTTTCCAGGATGTAGTGATACTTACAGAGGTAAAAGGACATGACTTCTAGGGTTTGTTTTATCGTGATTAGTGAGCAAAAAAGAAAATAGATCAATTATGGCTTAGCCTCAATATTTATTAACTGAACATTTTTTATACATCTTTGAAAGTTTTCATTAAAAAATGCTTTGTTACCCTGGCATGGTGGTGTGTACCTTTAATCCCAGCACCTAAGAGACAGAGGTAGGAGGATGTCTGTGGAGATTGAAGCTAGCCCGGTCTACATAGTAAGTGCCAAACATAGTGCTACAGGGAGATTCTGTCTCAAAAATAAACAAAAAAATCAAAACAAATAACCAAAACTAAACAGAAACAACCACCGCCAAGTTTTAATGGAGAAACAATGGAGGTCTCCTCTATTTATCGAAAACTAACAAAAGTATATCACTTTACCAGTTACAAAAAAAGTGAATAGACTAGGAGTGAAATCAATAAAACCAGGGCTGGGGTTTACCTCAGTGGTGGATCACTTGCTTAGGATGCTTGATTACCTGGGTTTGATCCTCAGTTCTATAACAAAAACAAAAAACCAAGCCCTACCCCCCCAAAACAAACAAAAAAGCAAAACAGAACAAAAACCACCAAAGATTTCATATTCACTCATAAGAAAGATGATTCTCTGTAGAATCAAGTAACTGAAAAATGTAGGATTCAAATTTATCAGTTAGTACTAATAGTACTCTAGTCTAACTTTGAAATGAATGTCAGTATTAATAGAGTATTTTTCTTCATCTTTTTTTTTTTTTTGTGGTTCTAATGTTGCTGCTTGTTTTGTTTAGTTTTTTGAGACTGGGTCACTCTAAAATCCATGCTGGCCTGAAACACATTATGCAGCATAGGCTGGTCTTGAGCTTGTTAGCCTCCTGGCATGGTGGGAATAGCCACCATGCCTGATGTACATTTTTCTTTTATTAAGACAACAAATACTTCAGACTCATAGGGGCTTTGCAGCCAGCAGGGTATACGTTTAGTTTTTGTGCACTAAGCACAAAAAAAGTGCTGGAATATACTTCCCCTTACCACTGGGGGGGAAAAATCACAATTAAAAAAAATTTATTTTTTATTATTTTATGTGTATGCATGTATTGCCTGCATGTAAGTAAGTGCACCTGTGTTGTGCAATGCCCACAGAGGACAGAAGAGGCTGTCGGATCCCCTGGAACTGGAGTTAGACAGTTATTAGTTGCCATGTGGTTGCTGGGATTCGAACCCGGGTCTTTGCAAGAACAGCCAGTGTTCTTAACTGCTGAGCCATCTCTCCAGCCCCATAATTACTTTTTTAAAAGGGAAGAGGTCAATAATATTATAGACAATCAAAATGAATAATAGTTAATCAAGGGGAAAAAAAAACAGTAATTATAGAAACTGGACAAGAGATGGTAACAGGAGAGTAAGTAATACATTAAAAACATGTATGGAAATCTCATGATGAAACCTATTATTTTGTATAATTAATGAACACTAATAAAAAAAATCAGTAGTTAACTCCTTGTCAAATCAATTTGTAATTTTTTAATGTTTCTGATAGGTAAAAATGTTGGGAGAGTGAGCGTGTGGTGGAGAGCACGAGCGGATGGAGGAGGCACCGAGGCACAGATGGAATTCTCAGCGGGATACAGATTTATTTCG